AAAAAAATGAAATTAAAAAACCACCACTAGATGGCATTGTGCAATGTAAACTACTGCCATATGCAAATGTCGTAACTATAGTAATCCTGTGCGCGCACAACTACCCTATAAAGATGCGAGAAGCAAACCACAGTCATAACCCTATAATGATGCCAGAAGCAAACCACAGTCATACTCGTTTCCAAGTCAACGGTGATGTAGCGGCACAAATGCATGAAGACAGACTGCAAACCATTGGCAACATTAGTGTTCGACGTACTGCATCACCTGTTGACCAACCTCATTCCACAGTTCATAAGATTTTTCAAAAGGTCTTACACTACTATCCCTATAAACTGTCACTACTGCAGCAGCAGCTCTTACCAGCTGATCTGGATAGTTGATAAACTTTTGCATTGTGGTTTTTTGAGCGAGTTGAGCTCCAGGATGAATGGCCATGGAACATTTTGTGGACTGACGCGGCCCACTTTTACATGGAAGGTGTTGTTAACACGTACAATATCTGTATTTGGGCTGCTACAAACCCACATCAATTCCTTTCCATTACACTCTTCGCATGTAACAGTTTGGTGTGGCTTTACTGCAACCTTCATTGTGGGTCTGGTTTTTTTTTTTCCCCCGAAGAGCACAGCGCCGCAGGGCCTGTGACATGCACTGTCACCAATCAACGATACACTTCATTATTAGAGCAATCCGTTATTCTGGCAAGGCAATGTGATACAACCACTGTGTTTATGCAGGATGGTGCTCCTCCACACATCGCCCGTTGTGTGAAACAAGTGCTCTGCCACCATTTCATTGACGACAGAATCATCAGCCGGCAATTTCCTACAGCTTGACCACCTAGATTCCACGATTTGAATCCTTGAGACTTTTGGCTGTAGGTATACCTCAAGGCCCTGGTCTATCGTGATCCCATCCCATCTCTATCCGACCTTAAAGAAAGTGTAGAATGCCATGTGCCCATTGAAATTCCCCAGTTCACGCTGCTTTCAACAGTCGAACATGTGATTTTATGCTTCCAGATGGTAGTAGACAATGGTGGACATATCGAGCATGTTTTGTAAACTTTTGTAGATTATTTATATGTTCTTATTAAAGCTATGACATGCCACCTAGGGGTGGTTTTTGAAAGTCATTGTTTTTCCCCCTCGATAAAATTCCCATTTCATTCTGCCATTACCCAATTTTCATGCAATGCCACTGTATAGTGTTTGCTACAGGCTGCTGGCTAATTTTAAGTTTAATTATGGACACCCTGTATGTGAGTCAGCTATAGATTTATGACATCAAAAAACAAGGGGAAAATCTCCAGTAAGGATGCATTGTTAGTCAAAAGGATTGTTATAAAACATATGATGGTGCAAGTAAAATGAAATTCTTGGAATTTTATTAGCTATTATTAGTTACTCCTTCTAAGACAACTTTTTTCTTGTGGTTGATAATCAGAATTTAGGGATTTCATGACGTCCAAAGTAAATCTGATTACATTTAAAATCACTTTACATTAAGTGCAAGAGAAACATATTAATGTAAAATTTTAAATTAGGCTTCAGGTAGCTTAGTTTGCCATAGATTTTGATCTGATTTTAAATCAATACAGTTTTGTTCAAAATCTATGTCAGATTAAGATTGCATTTTCGGCTAATACAAAAATGCACTTAACATATTGGCTCAGATAAGCTCATGTATTATACAATTACATCTTCTAATGTATCTCTGATCAGTTGTGCCACATATCAAGGCTTTCATTTTCCAAAAGATTATAGCATCCCCCGGTGCACGCTGGCTCTTATGGTGTAAATAGTCACTACATCTAGTTAAATGAAAGATCATTGGTTTTAATTGCAAAACTTTTCATAGTTTTCACAATTAAAGTCCTAATGGTCTCTACAATTTTCAATTGCAATGATAAAATTTCCAACTTCGGCAATACAAATCACAGAATTTCTATTATACCCCTTTCTATTATACTCCATGAATCATTACACAGATCTCAGCATGGCCAAGAATGTTTATGATTATCAAAATAAAATTCTCTTCATCAAATTATGCAGGATAAACATAGCTTCATCTTGAGATCCTAATAAACTTCCCTATTTTACCAGATCATCGCACCAGATGAGAATACATTTAGTTCAAGAGTTAGTTTGATCAAATTAACTACCATTCATAAAGGGAACAGATTATCCTTCTTAGCGTCCATATGTTTGCCCTCTATATTTCACTATTTTTAGCTCTGTATTGATAACTCTTTAATATCTGAAAAATTAATTTTAAAAAATTCAAGGAAGACTTACATTTGATTAAGACTGCACATTACTATGGAAAATTAGAGATTAAAAACTATTTTTACATTACAATAAATTGTGAAGAATAAGCAATACTAAACTGTTATTTTGTCAAATACGCTTTTACATTTTATTTTAAAGTTATCTAGTTCAGCTTTAGCTAGGAAATTAAATAATGAGAATTAACAAAAAAAAAAAAAAAAAAAAAAACTTTGAAGTTTACCAAAATCAGTAGTGATCGATTTCCTACTACATACAATACCTCGCTATAATACTGTTTCAAAACACAATCAGTTCTGTCTGTAGCACCATTCAATGACATTCATTTTTAGCAATACTATAGGATCTTACAACTTTTGAAATGCATGTTTTGTACAATTTTAGCAGAATTTAACTGCATTTTACTGAATTTTCATCAAGAATTACTCCCGGTGGTAATTAAGGAGCAGATTATAAAATAAGTTTTTAAATAAAACATTAAGGCTAGATTAATAAACATTTTACATTTTACCAAACCTTTGCATTAGCGTTAATATAAGGTTTTGCTTAATTCTGAAAAAAAAAAAAAAAAAAAAAAACTGGCAGTGATATCAAATCAATGACAAGTGTGTGAATGATGTTCTTCCTTGAATTAATACACGTTCCCTGTTGCACAGTGGTTCATTTTGGTATAGATTTAATTTCAAAGCTTGTCATAAAAATGTTGAAGTTATCTAAATAAACACATATTTGTACCTTTTACTTTCATTTTCTCAGTAACTGTAAAACTGAAGCAATTTGAATAGGTTAATTTCAATACTTTTACACTACTATTTTGAACTTTTAAAATACTCATTTTCAGCATTACCATTTTTTGAATTAATAGAGCTACAATCTAAGCTTCTATAAACTAAAAACTTATTACACAGATACCTTTTTTCTAAACCTATTGCCTAAAAGAAGTTTTATTAAACTCTTTGGTGCTATTTTCAGTAACTAAATAGCTGCGAAAATGAACAGTACGCAATGCCATGATATAAAAATAACTTTTCTTTTTCACAATGCAGCAACTATGATGCCATTAGCAAAATTAATTTGTTTCTGCAATTTATAGTTGGCTGTAATGCAAAGGTCTCTGACTTTCCTCAAGGACAATGCCAGCTTGTCTTGAATTCCATACCCGAGTAGGATTCATATGCATATCCTAAGGCATAAATCGATAAAACAAGCTCAGTTCATTCATGGCCATCAGAGGATTAAACAAATGATTTTTAATGGAATTTTAAATATGCAGGGTCTTTGGTAAAGGTGACTACAAGCTTTATTTCCTTAAATATCAATCAATCCTAGACACCTACTGCCAAAGACAAAGTTTCTAAAAACATTATAGAAACAGTTTAAGCACTCTGAAGAAATAAACAGAAAAATTTTAAATTGTATATGGTTCGAATTCAGCAAAAATTCCAGTAAATAAAATATTGATCCTGCTGTGATAAGGTGAACAAAATTACTTACATACCTTAATATGCAAAATTTAAAGATATTCATGGACAAATTCAGAGACTTCTTTTAACACATAATAAGGGTCGGAATTCTGCATCTTTTAATTGAAGTTAGGGAAGAGCCATTAAATAAATGGTATGCACTTTGATGATAGCTCTATGCAAAGTAAAATATTACTAGATATTAAACCTGAAGTTGGCCCCACACATGGTAATAACTACTTGCACCTGTTAATTTTACATGTATGGATTTGAAATCCTTTGTACCTAACTTAAAGCATGAAGCATTTCCTTACAAACTGGAATTCTTGATGTACAGTGATTGTACAAAGAGGTAGGTTTTACGCATTCACACAACCATACACCCACAGTGCATATGTTGTTTTCATAGAATATCTATCTTATTTGCTGAAAGCACATCTAGAGGTATTATCTAAGGAATTACAGCCTATTGTCACCATTTTCAAAAATTTTGTACAGGCAATGTAGCTCAATACTTTATTATTCAGGAAAAGAAAATTATTCTGTTGTAGTTACTGATTTCCTGTCCTGCTATGGAAGACTTCTTGAACCATTCCTTTTGCATTAAGAGTTTTGTTTGTTCCTCGTAACAAGCCTTTAGCATCAGTGGTAACAACAGGGTTTTTGAACAATGCCACACCAAATATCATCAAAAATACTATGAGGGATGCAACTGAAGAGTCTTTTTAAAATTATGTGAAAAAGCTATTAAGAAAAATTTTAAGTTTGCAAGTTTTTTTTAAAAATTATTATTTCAAATTTTCTTAAAGTACACGAAACTTCATTTCAAAATTCAGACTTCACTGACTTTTCTTGCTACAGAAAAAAGGCAGCCACTCTCCTTTCAAAGAGATGAGGGTCTTCTAAAGGAGCAGCAAAACTGACATGCATGAAAACATTATTCATTAAGAAGTCAAATAAACAGAAAAACTTTAACCAGTTAGGCGTTACGCTAAAGACAGATACGATTTCAACTTCTAGAAAGGTTTAAAATACATTCAAACATCTGTGTCTGGCAGGGAATCATGCTGAGTGCATATGAAAAGAGGCTCAGTGACTCAAAACTAAAAAGGCTGATTTCAACAGATTTTAATTTCATAAAATCTACAAAGATACAAAAGTATATGAAATGCATTAAGATGAAAAAAATATACAAGGCAAAAAGGAAACAACTTTTTTAACTTACTCTCAAAATCAGCAGCATTGTCGAGTTTACTTAATAGTATGATGCTCATTTTAGACAGAGTTAACTGAGTCCAAAGAGTTAGTTTCTTTGGTGGACTGCACTCAACAGAATCACTAGATCTGTTCTCATTAGAAAATGCTTTATTGCAGATATTGGCATTTTCATACAAATTTTTTTGTGCACACTTTGTATCAGGATGAACAACTTCAGGAGCTTCGCTTCCACGTTCCAATATATCAGGTGTTTTCACATTAAAACATGAAATCCGCAATTTTATTCTTTCAACAAAATTAATACATGTAGAAATAGTCTGTAAGCAGTCCACAAGAAGCTCTGCCTAAGGAGGAAATATTAAGGTTTAAAGCAGCACATTAAAAAAAAATTTTAATATAACATTCATTGTATGTAAAAGCACTTCAAGCACAAGCTTCTACAAAACTTAACTATGGCGAATTGGACAACAGTTTATTTATTAGGGAAAGATGCATGTGAAGAACTTAGCATAGTTCATATTCATTTCCCATTATATTACAGTACAAAGTCCGTAATCCGGACTCGTCGGGACTCGCACTCAGGATAGGGTTTTTCAGATTATAGATCGCAATTTAAATTGGTAAGATGGCATGCAGGTATACAATTAAAAATATGAAACAGTAATTATGAAAAAGAGCAATTATGATCAAGGGTATCAAATTTACAAAAAAAAGGGTATATTATTGTTTACTTATTAAACATTTCCTTTTTGAGCAAGTGGTGTGCTTCTTTCTATTTATTCGATAAACAACATAAACGTTCAGTTAATGTTCACGTTCCGCAGGAACTGATGCGTGAGAAACCGACTAACTTGTCAATCGAATATTTCATTTCATACCTCTCTGTCACTTCGCACTATCAGAAGTGCGCTGTGAACCGGGACTGGCTTGAAGCCATGCGTAATTGGCTTTCATGTCCGGATTATAAAGGCATCGTGGTCGATTCTGATTACAGCATTCCGGAGAAATGGACGCGGAGTACGGACTTGTACTGTATAATATCATCAAACATTTCTAACAATAATAGAGGAAATTTTTTTCGGCGCACAAATCTACAGGGCGTGACAGTAACTTCTAACAGAATTGCTAAGAAAATTCTAAATGGATTACTATGAAATACCGTATGGATACTTAAGAATTCGGTCCGAACAGTAGGATTAGTCACTAACAGAAAAAGGCCTAGCTGTGGAATCAGAATTTTTAGGCTACTGTGTAATCCGTTAGCAAACAAAAATTAAAACTAGTTCACAAATGTTTCTCGTCCTTACTTTAATCTGTGGAAATTTAGGATTTTTGTAAAATATGTAGAAAGGCAGTTGATGGTATTTAGTGGTCTGAGATGTCGAAAAACACGACAATACAACATATTACATGTTAAACAATGACAAGTAATGCTTGTACAGCAATATACCAATACTGAAACAAAGGCAAACTCAAATAAGCAACTCGGATCAGTTAAAATACACATTAAACGTACCATCACTACACAATCGGACGTGCGGGGGGAACACGTACACTGCAGCAGTAAGCCCTGAGAAGCAGGAATGAAATGATTTGTACTGTGTACCGGAATTTTAAGCCAAATAGAAAAACAGGTCAAAAAGGTATTAAAAAATAAAAAAGAAAACTAGACTTGGGAAAAAAAAAAAAAACAGGCACGCCAGTACAGACAGAAAGAGCTGGCATTTTCAAATGCACAAGTTCCTGAAGCGATTTTTCAAAGAGGGGAATTTGCATTAAAAAGTGAACCATCATAAGTCGATTTAGAGTGGAATGTTTCCGATATCAAGAGTTCTAATTATTAAAAAAAGCCACTTTGCATACTGAAATCTGAGTACAATTATAAGAGTAAAATACAAACACAGAAGAAAGCAAAACTGCAAAAAAAAAGCGAATACATTATCGCAGATTAGAGCACAGGTTTGCCAAATAATATAAAAAATGGAGAGGCATAAAAGGTTCTAGCAAGACGCGGGGAAGGTAGTTGAACACCATAGACAGTGACGTCAAGGATAATGAAAAAAAAAGTTGCGAGTCTCCCTCAAAGGCAGAAGTAAATAGACAAGGGCGATATAGGGGAAACGAGAACTTCTCTTTAGAAAGATAGTAGAGAAGAAAGAAATAAGAGAAAATTTGACACTGATGAAATTAAAAAAAAAAAAACTTTACCTGGAATGCAGAAATATTAAGACAGACACATTTGCTATCCATGTGAACACAAAGACCCAACTGATTTTGATTGCTCTTAGAGGATAATGCTATTGTTGCTGAAGAGGTAGTAGGCATTAGTAGATAAAATACATCATTTGAAGATTTCATGTTAGCAATTGTGTATATACTGAAATTATCTATTTGTAGAGACCAAGGAAAACCCTGACCTGTTATTAAATAAAGATTATGCAAATAAGAATGTCATAATAAGAAATTTAAAATATAACAAGAAATTTAAAAAATAACAAACTAAACTGTTTATACAATTAGACAGAATTCTACATAAAACAGCACATTTAAAAATATAAATTAAATGCCCCATGTTTAAAACTGTAGAAAGGTACATTACACAAAATCCAAAAAATATTACAGTAATCAAAATGCATTTTCAGCTTAATTAGCATAATAATTATTTCAATGATTTTAAATGTATAATCCTTTACACTATTTTAACATATGCATATGCAATATTTAGTATAAATTTAATGCTTAAAATTGTTACAAAGTTTACTGTTACAGTTTTCAAAAGCATAATATGCACATTAGCTCCCTGAGTTTTGGAGGGGAGGGGGAAGATATACAGTTAAACTGCTAATAAGAAAATTGAAGAGCTGCATCTAAATCAGTGGTTCTCAAACTTGTCTGTATCACTGCCTCTTTGACTTCATCATACTTGAGCATAAACTTCTACACACTTTGTGTGTGTAAATTTTACATATTTCTTTAAAAACAAACTTTTTTTGGCATTTATTCATTTTTCATAAGAAACATATTATATACACATACAATTACAATAACAACAATATAATTGACGCAACAAAATAACATTAAAGGGGTGTTGGAACCCCAAAATCTTAAAAAAATTTTGATTTCGGATTTTTGCATTTTCAAATTCTCTACACGGTTATTTTTAAAAGACCAGGCGGAATTTCTATGAAAATTAGCTGTAAAAAATAGTTTTAATTTGTCTTACTCTTGATCAATGAGAATTTTACATAAAACGCGTTTTCTCCAAACATGATTTTTTTTATACTCGGTGTACCTTTTTAAGGAACTACTGCTCACAGGTATCTAAAATTTTTACGGGCTTATTTATTAAGTTTCCTAATATTAGCTCTACTCTTATATGTGCCCTAATATCACAAATGTGGTGATATGTGTTCTGCGATTGCGTGCTGTACGGCAACCTTGTTGATATTGAAAAATCTTTTGCTGGAGCGGTTTGATTGCTCTTTGGTTCGTGTCATGCGTGTTTTGAAATGGCCTATGTTGCAATGATAGAGTGGTGGCAAGATTTCAGTCGCTATTTTAGATTGTTGAAAGTAAATTTAGTATTAAAGGTACAATGTTGGCATGCAATGGTCTTTTGTTCACGGGTGTGTTTATGAGGATCGAAGTGTATTTTTGGAATTTCTGTGGTACTTTTAAAACGGAGTCCGAAATGCGGAGCTGCTATGAGAACTCGGACAAAGAAGAGCATTTCTGATAATTCCTGTGTGGATTTGCAGTCAAATGGTTGCTGCTAAAGTATGTGACTGACAGCAAAGATTTGGATTGTGGTTTTCGAGTACTAAGTTAACTTTGAAGGAAGTTTTTATCGTTACTTTCGAAATTTTGAATCTCAGAAAGACATGAGATATAGCAAAATCGTGGCACTTTTATTCAGAGAGTTTGTGTGACTGGCGAAATTTTATTCAGGAATGTATGATAAGTGCATTTTATTTTACTGTTTGGTTTTGTAGAATGTATGTCATGTTTTTTACTATGAATGTTCTTATTGTTGTTTTTTGAATGGTTTGTAATTTAGTTTAGTTTATTTGGTTGATTTGTGAGTAATGCCTAGATTGTGCAATTCGTAGATTTTTTTAAAGTTTAAACAGAATGTGTACATGGTATTTTTTGAAATTTATTGTTATGTTAATTTATTGAAGCAAGGTGTGCATAGTTCGTAGATTCCTTTGCTGTGCAGAATGTGCAAATCCTACATGTTTTTTTAAGTTAAAACGTATCGCTGTGTACATAGATTCTTGTCAAATATTTTTGGTTAGAAACTTTATGTTTTTGCTATCTAAATTTTTGTTTTTCTTTCAGACTTTTAGCTTAAATTGTGTCTTCAAAACGTGGTTTTTGCATATGCGAAAACCGCATTTTTGGAGACATTTTAGGCTTAAAATTTGAAATGTAGACAAAAAATTTAGGCAGTAATATCGCGACGTGGAGTTTCTTGCCAAAAATATTTGATGAGAAATTTGGCGACCTGAGGGCGCATATAAGAGTAGTTCCCTAATATTTACTGACATGAGCTGTTTGTGATAAACTTAGAAAAAAAAATGAAAACATTTTTTTTTGTGTGAGAAAAGTGCTAAATTTTACTATGCCTAACAAAATATTCTGTAAATTACTCTAAAATTCAAAATGTTTCAAAAGCTCATTTCAGTATAATCAAATAGGTATACTTTAATTACACAAAAAATTTCAAGCGTGTATCTACATCAGATTTTGAGAAAAGGTACATCGAAAATGGCCAATTTAACATTGTCGGTACAGGGGTTGCTGATACCCCTTAATATTATGGTAGGATATATGATGATATGATTAAAATAACATTAATATTATTCAAGGAGATGGATAATTTCGATTTAGCTCATGACTTAGCATTCAAGAAGGTTGTTATCACTCAAGGGAATGGATGTTTTTAGAAGTAGCTCCTGAGCATTTAAGAAGGTTATTATCATTCAAGGAGATGGATGATTTCTATTTAGCTCATGATTGTTAGCATTAATATTTCTTAAGAGAAATCAAAAATCACCATGTTTAACTGCTTGTGGGCCATTTCTTCGTTTCATTAAAAGCTGGAAGACAAACTTTTGTTTCACTAAAGGTATTATGAGCATCTACTTAGGGAAAAAATGCTAAATGGTTATACTTTTTAGTATATATGTTGAAGAAATTAAACATAATTTTGTTATGCTATAATAAATCATCATAAAATTATTATGATTGGCAACATCATTATCACATCAGATAATTCTAAACTCCACAAATGCACAGCATTGCCAAGTTTAGGAAACACTGATGTAAATAAAAGGAAATTATATATACATGGAACTAGAAGTAACAGGGTGATTATCATCAACCCTCACCATAGGACTGGTTGAAGCCCTTTCCCTGATAAGCATTTCTGTCTCGCTTGTTCTTTTCAGCACAGACAAACTGCTACTTACAGTATGCGCTGTTTAATAAACTCACTTGTTACTAAACTCAGCTACTTATCACATTCAAATTTCCAGGAACTAAATTAAATATATACTAATCAATAGAAAAACCGCCGTTTATTTAACCCATCTATGGCGCTTATTAAACTCAGACTGGCAAAAGACTGATTGCCAAAATATCATACTTGTACCTGTCAAAGCTTTTACATGCAAATGTACATGATGAACTATATAGAAGGCAGAGAAGAAAACCACGATGTGCCATTCACAACGTACCAGAGTCAGTCAAGCCAGATGATATTATCGCTGAACTCAGCTGCGCAGCAAACGTCTCACACAATGCAATTAGAGCACTCTTTAAGCTCAAGGAGAGAAGGTCTAAGAGACTTAAGTGGATCCTTGAATGTGAGCCTTTTAGTTTTGCTGCCATCATTAGAGTTAAAAAGGTGTTCACGGGGTGGAATGTGCACACCATCTCAGAATACCTCAGAATATGATGCTGCTTCAAATGTCAACAGCTGGGACACACCCAAGATGTCTGTAAAAGCAAAAGTAGCTACTGCTCCTTCTGCGGAGACAATCACAGTGTGCGGGAATGTCACTCACAACACCCTATCTGCATCAACTGCAGTGATTCAAATCATAGACACGGCTTCAAATATGATTTCAGGCATCCTGCCTACTCACCGCAAAGTCCGCAATACCAACGATCTGCAAGTTACATCTGTAACATCACAGCATACTAATGGGCCAGGCTGAATACCCATTCCTGATGAAGAAACCGTTTTATATCAATCAATTTATGATACGCTCCAAAACTTGAACACTGCCGCACTGAGCAACAGGAACCTGAATGAGCTGACTGCGGATATTGCTGGTGTCAAATTTGTGCAAAAAAACTTGCAAACAGCATGAGCAGCAACAGCTCAACTCACACAATTTGTAATGGAGCATGAAATTGACTTCATACTCATTCAGCATGGTAATAGCATGGCACTTACCAGCATGGCAATAGAGTCATTAACTTCCCACTTTCACGGACAGTAGTCAATGCTAATGACGAATCCAGAGTCGCCACCACTTGCTGCCACCAAAGATGGTCTCCCAATATAATCAGATGTTCAAGAGACATAATCGCTATAGCAATTGAAACAATAGGACTGAACCTACTAATTACTGACGTTTATATTCCCCTTACAGCAAACATGCAAGCCTCACTTGATCAGCAACAAGAACTCCTGAAAGCATATCCAAAAGCACACCTTCTACTAGCGGACGATTTCAATGCTCACTTGGAGCTGTGGGGTTACTCAGATACTGACGCTCGAGGACGACAGGTAGAGGACTTCATTGCCTGTTACAATTTCATCCTGCATAATGTCCCAGGCAGTCAATCCACATATAAAACAATTCATGGACAGGGTTGGCCAGATTTAACTTTAACAACAGCACCCTTTGCATCAAAATTGCATTCCTGGATGGTCGATGATACCCCATCTAACTCGAACCATAAATACATTACGTACAGCATAGGACACCATAATAAAAAATTCTCAATCAAGAGGTACAAACTCAAGCAAAAGGACGCTAAAGCTCTTCAGCCAAAAGACCTGCAGTACACTAACACGTGCAGAACAAGATTTAGAACACCGCCACAATACAGATGACGTTGATAGCTTCACTGTACCCTAATTAAAGAGCTTCAGGCCATTTGTGATTCGATCTTCCAGATCAAATCTCCAAAGGTACACTATGTTGCCAACTGGTGGACTAAAAGCCTCAGTAAGACCTGAGCTCTTCGCAGAAAGATGAAGTCGGAGCATAATTCAGATTGCCGAGAAGAACTAAGTATTATCTACAAAAAGGCACAAGCCTAGTATAAAAAGGCCATTCTATAAGCCAAGCTGTACAGCTGGAGGGCGTTTTGCACAAACAATAAAATCCCTATGGGA